CTCACTTGGTAGCCCAGGCTGGCCTCGAACTCACAGAGATCCGCCTGCCTCTGCCTCCCAAGTGCTGGGATTAAAGGCGTGCGCCACCATCGCCCGGCCAAAAACGACTTTGAAAAGCTGGTTCTTTCTACCCTGTGAGTCTTGGGGATTTGTCAAACTCAGGTCTTTAGACTTGTCAGTGAGCACCTCTACCCGCTGAGCCACCTTGCCCTCTCTTAGCATTAGTTTTGTTTGTGTGTGTGTTTGTTTTTCTGAGACAGGGTTTCTCTGTGTAGACCTGATTATCCTGGAACTTGCTCTGTAGACCAGACTTTTTTTGTTTTTTAGACAGGATCTCTCTATGTTCCTGATGATAGCTGTGTAGACCAGGCTAGTCTTGAACACACAGGGCCTCTGCCTCTCCCAAGTGATGGGATCAAAGGTGCAGGCCACCATACCCAGACAACGTTAAATTCTTAAAAGTGTGAATGAATTACTTCTTTTCCTGTTAGTTTTTTTTTTTTTTTTTTTTTTTTTTTTTTTTTTTTTTTTTTTTTTTTGTAACAGGTTCTTGTTGTGTGGCCCAGGCTGGCCTAGAACTTGTGATGTACCTGCCTCACTAGAATTGTGGGTATGTGTCAGTCTGGCTTGGATGAATTGCTTTTGCAGGTTAAAAATCATTCCAAGCTTTTTTGTTTAGTATTTTCAACATTTTAATCAGTTAAAAATATTTTCTAGGCTGGGCAGTGGTGGTGCATGCCTTTAATCCCAGCACACGAGAGACAGAGCCAGGCGGATCTCTGTGAATTTGAGGACAGCCTGGTCTACGGAGCGAGAGCCCAGACAGGCACCAAACCACACAGAGAAACCTTGTCTTGAAAAAAAAAAAATTCTGGGATGGAGAGAGAGCTCACAGGTTAAGAGCACTTGTACCTGATTTTGAGTCCCAGCACCTACTTAGTAGTTCACAAATAATCTATAACTCCAGTTCTAAAACATCCAACACTTTCTTCTGGTTTCCATGGCACTTCATGAAGATTGTGCACATATAAAATAAAAATAAGTAAATTAAAAAAAAAACTTTGTAGAAAGTCTAAAAAGAGAAGGAAAAAAAATCCTATCAGTGTTACTCATTAAGAAATCATTTTGTTGCCGGGCGTGGTGGCGCACGCCTTTAATCCCAGCACTTGGGAGGCAGAGGCAGGCGGATCTCTGTGAGTTCGAGGCCAGCCTGGGCTACCAAGTGAGTTCCAGGAAAGGCGCAAAGCTACACAGAAAAACCCTGTCTCGAAAAACCAAAAAAAAAAAAAAAAAGAAATCATTTTGTGCTGGGCAGTGGTTGCGCACGCCTTTAATCCCAGGATTTGGGAGGCAGAGGGAGGCAGGTCTCTGTGAATTCAAGAGCAGCCTGGTCTACAGAGCTGGTTCCAGGACGGTCAAGGCTACACAAAGATACCCTGTCTCGAAAACAAGAAAGAAAAAAAAAGAAAGAAAGAAAGAAAAGAAAGAAAGCACTTTGTAGGTTCAGTATGAAATTGCTTTAATTTTGTGTTAATGCCAAATTGGCATTGTAGACAAAAATTGAACTGAAATTTGGTTTATGGAAAATTAATAAGTAAAGCTGAAATTTTATGAAATATTCTCTGTTTCGTTTAGACCAGCATGTTTTGGAAATTTGATCTTCACTCATCATCCCACATAGACACACTTCTAGAGAGAGAAGATGTAACACTGAAGGAGCTAATGGATGAGGAGGACGTCTTACAGGAGTGTAAAGCCCAGAACCGCAAGCTCATAGAGTTTCTGTTAAAAGCAGAATGTCTCGAAGACTTAGTCTCATTCATTATAGAAGAGCCACCTCAAGACATGGATGAGAAGATCAGATACAAGTAAGAAAATGGCGTCTTTGCCTTAGGCTGGAATAGAAAATGATTACTCTTGTTGTTTAAGAATTCCCTAGAGCCACTATAGCCATTGACAGGTTAAAACGGTCAAGAGCTACAGGCTGAATGGGCACACAGTCCATTCTAGAATCAACTCCAGTGAATCACAGGCATCTCAATCGTTAATCTCAGCCAGAAGCACAACATGTTTTATAAGAGACATACAAACTTCTTATACTAGTAAGACATTCAAGTAAGTATCTTCTTCACTTTCCATATAGAAAGCCAGAAGTCTATGACTAGAGGCCTGGTCAGAACTTGGGTTTGAAGAGCATATAGTAAGGTCAGCCTTCCATTGCCTAAGCATCAGGTGTAGGTCTTGGTGAACAGCAGTGAAGCTGTATTCAAGTAGGGAATGCCATAATAAATAAAAATAGAGTGGATTTACCTACTTGTGGCTAGTTTAATTGAATCTGTTTACAAACAGCATGGCACAGTAAATGAGTCCTTTATTGCTGCCACTTGTAGGACTTCCTTACACAGCTCTGGGAACACCAAGCACTTCATGGGCATGTTAATCTTGGGGTTGCAGTTATTACTCCATATCCTGCATTGTTGAAGTAGTCAGCATCTCCCACATTGAAAATAAGAGTCCCTTCAGAAATAAACGTCTGTTGTGATTCATTAGATAGACAGCGTATGGAAGGAATCATGATCTTAGACGCTGGCCTTCCTGTCTCAGGATGACTTCCATCTTTTCCTTTTCCTTTTCCTTCTGGGAGAGAATTATGCTGTCAGCAAAATAATACTTGATGACTTTAAAGTTATTGGTGTTCTGGGTTCTCAAGAAGCCTTTAAGATTGACACTCAGCAATCACTGGAGACCATATCATTCAGTGGAGACCGGTGTCTTATAAAGGAAGAAAAATATGTCTAGCATAAAAATACTAGTGTGTTTCTGTTTCCCCTAAACACCTTGCTGCTTTGGAATTGATGCCACAGTGAGCTAGCATGCAAGTTAGATAGAACTTACCCAGATCAGAGGGGGAGGTGGTGTGGTCATAGCTCCAGGATAATGGGCCTACAGTCAACCTTGGAGTGGTGTGGCCCTCTCTTTAGGGAAGCTGTGAGTAGACAAGTGGTCCCCTTTCTTGGGTTGGTCCCATATTCTGGATGAAGTTATTTGCTCTAATGTCATACTCTTTATGAATTGCTTACTTACTGAAAGGAAAGACCCCATGCCGGCTCTGCTGCTTGGCTCTGAAAGCTTGGCAGAGACGCTGCTTGTTTGTGTTGTTGCGCTGCCTTTGAAGCTGTGAGAGCAGGCAACCTCTCTCACACTGCCTCCTAGATGTACTAGATGGTGCCATTGGGAGGATCAGGAGTTGAGTTGGGTGGAGCAGTACCCTATCTACTGTGCCTCTGGCCCAGCCAAAACCACCATTGGTGTGAAATGTACCTTGGGTGACCTGAACACCTGTATTAGCATGGAGAGCCTTTTGAAAGGAATCTGAAACTTTTCAAGATTAAGATTGATTATTGTGGTCAGAGTGAGCCAGAGTAAGAAGTAAAACCATAGAAGCTCCCTGGAGAAGAAAGCAGGCTAGAACAGAACAGCTGAAGTTGGTGGATGGAAGGATTCTGGAGGAAGCTTTGTTTGGAGCCATGCAGGAACTGAGGATATTGTCTTTGTAAGTGCTTGGTGAGGAACAGCCAGACCAAAAGTGTGGAAGCCCTAATGTGCTTGAGTGTTTGGTGTACCCTAAGAACAAGACAGCCTCATGAATGGAGGTGAGTAGGAAGAGAGAAGGCCTGGGATGAGGTCAGAGCACCCTCCAAAGCAAACCACCAAAGGTTTTGAGCAGTGAGTGATAGATGTTGCCTGACAGTTGTCCCTGTCTGCTAGTACTGCCCACTCTGGGGGTCTAGGCACTGGGGAACTGGAGTAGAAAGGGAAGTACAGTTAAGGAGCTGGTAGTAGTCAGCAGAGAAAGATCTCAGTAGCCTTTTGGGGGGAGCAGGGTTTAGAATCTAGACATATAAAATGAAATTAGTACTGAAGGAGCCTCCTCGGTGTGAGGTCGAGAGGGAAGGATTAAGAAGGAAGGACTATTGGAGTTTTACCCCAGGTAGGGGAGGGTGGCATAGCTGTAACATTGAGGATAGATATCGGGGGGAAGGTTAGGCATTTGGCTTCAACCTTGTCAAGTTTGAGATGCCTGAAGCCAGGCGTTGGTGGC